CAATTAATTTTTGTGGTTGTAAAATTAGAAAGCAAAGCATACGTCAAAATATTTTTGCTGATACAGTAATAATATAAAATTATATTATTTAAATTATTTACGTTTATGTGTAAAAATTTTATTGCGTTATATTTTAATTCATATGTTATTTATTTAATTAGGCTTGTTTCAAGTTTTTTTTCGCAGATATAAGACTGTCTCTCTTTCAAACTCTAAGAATGACGCGAATTTCAGCTATTGTTTATTATGATGGAGAAATTCGGGAAGATGAAACCGACGTTTTCGTATCAAATCATTATGTTAAAATATCATTCAAGAGAAGCATAACTCTTGAGGAGCTGATAACGAAGATGAAGGTTCATGTTGGAAGTACTAGAAGAATGTCGTCGCTTCAGTACAGATTTCCAACATCATTGTTTCTATTAACTTATACAACGTTCAAACTATCGAACAATGATGATGTTGAAATAATGGTTGATTCTCAAAATCATTATTCGGACGCCGATACGGAGATGTATGTAAAGTTTATTGAGGTGCGTGCTGTTCGGGGTCTGTCATTAAGCTCCCACTATGGGCTGGATGAACAACCTGATCAAGGTGACATCCCAACTACAGTAATGTGTAATGATTTTGTAACATCCCAAACTACGAGTTAGTGGCTAAATTATAAAATTTTAGAATTTGGTCATTAAAGGTCAAAGGTCAAAGGTCAAAGGTCAAATAGGTCATTGAACAAGTAAAATAATTAAATAATAATTAGTGGGTATTATAATACCCATGTGATGCATGTTTGAAGAGATAAGTTTCTAGACTTATCTTCTTCATCTTCTTCTCTTCTCCAACGTGAGACTCCAAGCAAAGGTAAGTTTTCTAATTAGTTGATTATTTGTTCAATTAAAGGTTGGGTTTTGATCCTTAGATGATAATTAAGCTTAAGGAATGCTTAATTTGTCTTAAATCAAAAGATTAAGAAGTTATGAAAGATTAAAGAAAATGGGGTTTTAAGAGAATTTGTGGAAAAGAGTTGATAAGTTGAATTTGAAACTAAATTTGACTTGTCATCAACTTAATTAAGAGATATAAAGTGATAGAATTGAATTTAGAGTATATTGAAAATTTGGTATGATTATTGATTTTTATATGGAGAATAGGATTTTGAGGTTTGAGATGTAATAAATGAGTAGAAATTGATTTAAGTATGTATATTTGAGTTAAGAATATGAAAGGGAATGAAATATGAAGTATTGAAGCTAGAAATAGTGAATTTTCGTGTATTAATAGTGACTTATAGGCAAAATTTACAGATTTCTATAAGGGTATCGATACCTTAGGAAGGGTACCGATACCTTAGGGAGGGTATCGATACCCCCTAAAGGAAAAATGAAATTTTGGTTCATTAATCTAGCTTAAGTTATTAACATCAAGTTATAAGGTTTAGGCTTATGATAATCGTCTCGGAAATTATGTTTATGTAGATATTGAACCTAAACAAGTTTCGGAACAATCAAAGAATTAAGATTGAATCAAAGCAAGGCTAAGGTCAGTGCAATTTAATTTGTACTTATGTTATCGAACAAATATTGGCTTGCGATGAGCTAGTGACGAAGTTACTATAGTAAGAATTGACTCCTAAATATGTTAATTGATTTGTTATTTTTATGTGACATGACCTACATGATTACATGTTATATGCATCATTATACATGCGTATGTATGACATGTTATTATATGTGCTATGTGATATATGAACTTATGAGATTAAGTGAATGAACATAGATGATATATATATGATGATATAAGAATAAGACATGAATCAAATGATATGAGTTATATGGGAAATATATGTGAACAAGATATGAAATATATGTTTATGTGAAACCATGCAAAGTGATACGAGCTATGTGACATATGAATATGAAATCATATGAAAAGTGACATGAATTACATGAAAGTAAACTACGTTGATTATATGCACATGTGATATGTGATCATAATAGCAATGATATGAGTACATGAATATATGAAGCATAAGAAAAATGCCCATGTTATATGATACGAGAGCTATAGGTATAGTTGGCATGCCAAGAGTAGAGGGTCTACGCGGTCCTTCAGGACAAATTCTACGTAGTCATTCTGGACATATATGTATTCTCTAGAACATGTATAAGGTCTTTTGAGACACCTACTTGATCCTTGGTATATGTATATGATTCTTAAGGAATTTCTATGTGGTCCTTATGGACAGTCTTATATGGCACTACGGTGCAATTCTACGTGGCACTTCGGTGCAAATTTCTACGTGATCCTTCGGGACAAATTTTGTATGCCACTCAGTGGGACTTATACGTGCTGTGGTGACAGTATTAGTGCACAACCTCAACGTACTCACATACCTTCAGTTCTCAACAATGTACATGGGCTAATAAATAGATTTAATAAATATACTGAATATGATTTGTTATATGGAATAAATCACATGATTTATGTAATGGTGTATTGCTTGGTTAATGCATGATACGTTATGTATAAGATTGTTAAATTATAAGGATTAATGATAATGAATATGAAATGTTAAACGTGTTGATAAGGATATATGTTCATGTGGGTATATGTTACATAAATGATATATGTTTTTATATGATATGATCGTAAAAAATGTTCATGCATTTGATATGAATTATATGATGTTAAGTGCATTTCTTTATGAAATATTTTATGGTTTCCATTATATGTTTATATGCCTCACTAAGTCTATGACTTAGCATGTGATTGTTTCACACGTATGAATTTTTATGTGAAGTGTATTTTATGAGTTTTATACATGTTTGCCGAAGTTATTGTAGCAGTATTGTAGCAGGGTATCGATACCCTGTAGTAAGGTATCGATACCCCTGAAGCAATCAGGAAAAAAATTTAACATTCAGTACTGTTCACGGTATTGTTCATTACTGTTCATGCGGTACTGTTCATACCATATTTTATTGTTCATGAAAACGTATTTTTTCAAATTGGTTTTAACGAACATAATTCAACAATATATGATCATATTTTATTATTATAAGTTCAAATGTTATGTTATTTTTATACGAATATTGTTTTAAAAAATTAATGTGACATCTTGGACTCGTATTCGGGTCGGGTACGGGTTGGGGTGTTACATTTAATGGTATCAGAGCTACGGTTTAGCCGATTCTAGGCTAAAAATGAAGTCAAAAGTGTTTTAAAAAGTATACATGCCAACACAAAGTGAAAAAATTTCTGATATGATAGTGTAAGGAGTATACTGTCTTGATAATAGAGTTAAAGTGTTATGTTATATTAGATGTTTTAATCATGAGAGTTTCCCAAGTGAAGCACAAGATGATAGACCTGAAGGTAATAGCATTC